GGGTTTGTCACCATGGCCAGCCCTAGTCAGGGCCCTGAGAGAATTTCCCTGCTGTGCGGAGGAGTCTCTGATGTCCAAATGGTGTTAGCTCCACTTGCAGCGTTTTCCGCACTGAGAACATCTCAGCGGTTTCTTCCCTGTGTGGATTTCTAGATGTTTGATACTCCAGGAGCACCTAATGAAGCTTCCCCCGCATTCAAGGCCACTCTGCTGTGTGGGTCACTGAGGTGTGAAGTCAAATTAAATCTTTTTCTGCAGTCCGGCTACTCCTACAGGGTCTCATACCTCTGTGGATTCTCTGTTACTGAAGCTTTTTCGATATGCCAAGCATTTATAAAGTCTCTCTCCTATGTGGCTTGCCTGATGTGTAACAAGACCTGATCTGAGTCAATTACATGCAAGCTGCTTAACCCTTTCTTGTCACGTGTCACAGAAGTTTAGATACTGTGTGAATTCTCCCATGTTTAATGAGGTTTGATCTCTCTCTGAAATTTTTCCCACAGTCCAAGCACTTATGGGGTCTCTCTCCTGTGTGGATTCTCTGATGTTTAACAAGGTCTGACCTCCGTAGGAAACTTTTCCCACAGTACAAGCACTTATGGGGTCTCTCTCCTGTGTGGATTGCCTGATGTTTAACAAGGTCTGACCTCCATATGAAACATTTCCCACAGTACAAGCACTTATGGGGTCTCTCTCCTGTGTGGATTGCCTGATGTTTAACAAGGTCTGACTTCCGCTTGAAACTTTTCCCACAACGTAAGCACCTGTGGGGTCTCTCTCCTTTGTGCATTGCCAGATGTGTAACAAGGTTTGACCTATATATGAAACTTTTTCCACAGTCCAAGCACTTATGGGGTCTCTCTCCTGTGTGGATTCTCTGATGTTTAACAAGGTTTGACCTCCGTAGGAAACTTTTCCCACAGTACAAGCACTTATGGGGTCTCTCTCCTGTGTGGATAGCCTGATGATAAACAAAGGTTAATCTACATGTGAAACTTTTCCCACACTCTGAGCACTTGTAGGGTCTCTTTCCTGTGTGGATTGCCTGATGTTTAACAAGCTTTGACTTCTGTATGAAACTTTTCCCGCATTCCAAGCACTTGTGGGGTCTCTCTCCTGTGTGCATTGCCTGATGTGTAGCAAGGGATGATCTCCATGTGAAACATTTCCCACAGTCCAAGCATTTATGGGGTCTCTCTCCTGTGTGGATTGCCTGATGATTAACAAGGTCTGTTCTCCGCTTGAAACTTTTCCCACAGTCCAAGCACTTATGGGGTCTCTCTCCTGTGTGGATAGCCTGATGATAAACAAAGGTTAATCTACATGTGAAACTTTTCCCACACTCTGAGCACTTGTAGGGTCTCTTTCCTGTGTGGATTGCCTGATGTTTAACAAGCTTTGACTTCTGTATGAAACTTTTCCCACATTCCAAGCACTTGTGGGGTCTCTCTCCTGTGTGCATTGCCTGATGTGTAGCAAGGGATGATCTCCATGTGAAACATTTCCCACAGTCCAAGCACTTATGGGGTCTCTCTCCTGTGTGGCTTTTCTTATGTCAATATAGTGCTGACATTGACCTGAAACATTTCCCACA